TACTATTTTCCCCAATAAAAGAGAATAATGTTTCAATAAAAATATAGTTTATAATCCTTCAATGGCAAAAAAAAAAATAATGTTTTTTATACAAAATTATATGATTATTATAATTATAAAAATTGTATTTATTTACAAGTTTTTTTTATTAAATGCTTTGAACAAGAAAAAAGAATTTAATTGTTGATAATTTTCTCAAACTCCTAATAAAGTAATGAAACTTTTTTCTTAGACGCACGTTTTGCTTCGGACCACTGACATTTTTTATCATCTTTTTTGCCCATTGGATCACATATCACTGAATTAGAGTTGACCAAAAAATTTTTATTCTCTATTTCCAACCTTGTTACGGTCCTCTTTGTGTGTTCGGTTAATTACCTCAAGTTATAATTAGTGATGCGTTAGAGAACCCCCGTTAACGTATTTACGCTCTGAATTTCTATTTTCAATAAAAGCGGTCTTTTTAAAAAAAAAATTGTTTGCTAAACCAATATTTCTTCCGCATAAACAAAATTTATTCCACTTAGTTGTTAATAATTGATAATTACCATTGTTATTAAAAAAATAAAATTAAAAAAATAATAGTAATTATGATATTAAAATTCTGCATAGCTACCAATATAAATTCTACTAATAATAATAGGTAATAATAAAGATAATAACATTTAGTATTATTATTATTACTATACTCGCATCATTTGTTTACCTGATTATAAAAAATTATAATTATTTATTATTATTCAATATTTGTTTGGAAAAAAGAAGTGTTATTTTAACACTAAAACTAGTGTTAAAACTACACGCAACATTTTTAACCTACACTGTGTGATTTCAACACTTCATTGGTGTTTAAATAATACTGGAGTGTGTTAAATTAACACTAGAGGGTGTTAAATTAGTATACATTTTAAATGGGGTTAAAATAACACCAAAATTGTGTTAAAACAACATCACCTGAAAACTACACGCAACAAATTTAACACATATTTTTTTCTGTGTAATATTTTTTTATTTATTTATTATTATTTTTTTTATTATTACCATTAAACCAATTATAATAATAATAATTGTTATTAACATAAATCTTATTGTTCCTATTCAAAAACCCTTTCGCATTGTTTGCATCCCATTGAAAAAGCATCTCAAGTAATTTCCACGTAAGCAAGAGGAATTTGCGGATTTGCAATTAATTAAACACTGCATGCGGTCAAGAAAATATTTATCAATCAATCAAGAGAGGGAGAGGGAGTGGGAGAGAGTGAGAGAGAGAGTAAAGCATACTAAATGAGAACAGTCTTAATGAACATTAATAATTAATACTCTACTGAAAATATTTGCAATCAAAGAATGCCAAGAATCATTGTTTCAATACTCCGGAATATCAATTATTATCAAACACTTCTTCTAATGTTCTTGTCTAAAAATTAAGAAAAATTTTATATTTCTTTCACTAGAGTATTAAAAAAAGACAAAAAAGAAAAATTTCCAAACTTTTTAACTAGATATTATTTTTCGTTTTGATTCAATTAAGTAGGTATTAAATTAATTAAATTAAGTAATTATTGAATACAATTTTTTTTATTAAATTAACCCGTCGAGCGTAAGGTAGGATAATAATATGTAATATTTATTCCTTGATAATTCGAATTTATAATGCCGAAGTTAACTGTAATTTTTAATAGCTGCTCTGGATTCGGTAACAAATCAATAAAGAATAAAAAAAAATTTTTTTACACTTCTTATTGTTTATTTATAACTATTGTCAATAATATATGTACGCTGACTATAAAACACACAAAAAGTATTGTTTTTTGTATAATGTAAAAAAAGTTGGAATCATGAAAGTACACTTCACTATTATTGGTTTCTAAGGATAAATAATGTATTTTACTATTATTACAATGAACTTTTCATTTGTTTAAACAATTTATTATTGCTAATTCATAACAATTCCAAAAACAAAATAGAGACAAATAAATTTCTAAAAATTTGGCAGCTTTTTTTTTAATTTTGCAATTTTCGGACCTACTTATAATAACCGATATATGTTAAACGTCAAATCGCTATTTTAGCATTTATTTAAACAAATAATTGTTGTTATTTAGTAACTTTTTTCTATTGCACCTAGAAAGAAGCAATTTTTTTCTAATTTTTCAATTTTTGGACAACGGGTTAAACAAATAATTGCTATTTATTAAATAGCTATTTGACATTTTATATTTATCGGTTTAATTATAAGTAGGTCCGAAAATTGCAATATTTGAAAAAAACTTCATCTTTTTAGGGGCAATAGGAAAAAAGTTAATAATTAACAACAATTATTTGTTTAAACAATTATTAAAATATCGCTCCATAAATTGCAAAATTAGACAAAACTGCGTCTTTCTAGGTACAGTGGGTAAAAAGTTAATAAATAACAACAATTGTTTATTTAAACAATTTAATGCAATAATTGTAAGCACTTGCCAGTGAGAAATTTCTCACCGGTCCAATATCGGTCCAATATTGGGAGCCAAGAGACCGATCATCGGTCCAATAAAGGCTCCCAATATTGGACCAATATGGGCTGATGCTTGGGATGTAACGGCATCGCCAATCATCGGTTGTCAATATTGGTCCAATATTGGCCGAATATTGGCAACCAAGAGAAAAAAATTTTTTTAAATTAAATAATAATAATAAAAAATTAATGTTTATAATTTTTGTTTAATATATTTATTTGTTTAATTATTTATTTTTAATAATTCATGTAAATAATAAATAATTTATTATTTATAAATTATAATTATTTAAAAATGCAGCAGCTATTAGAAAATAGCATTCTGCAAAAAAATTCTATCATTGAAAAATCAATGATAGGCGAGAGAAATCCGCGTCTTTAAATAGATTCGCAGATGATAGACAAGAGATATCCGCGTCATTAAACGGATTCGCAGATATACTCTGGTCTCGCGACGAATCTCTCGATACTTATATACACTGGAGTCGCCGTGTCAGTTGCGAGAACGGTTACAGCGTCCCTCTTGCGGCAGAGATAAGAATTGTCACGTAAACTGCTAAATCGCTTTACCGACCGCCTTATTATACCCGCAGTTTACGTGACAATTCTTATCTCCGCCGAAAGAGGGACGCTGTAACCGTTCTCGCAACTGACACGGCGACTCCAGTGTATATAAGTATCGAGAGATTCGTCGCGAGACCAGAGTATATCTGCGAATCCGTTTAATGACGCGGATATCTCTTGTCTATCATCTGCGAATCTATTTAAAGACGCGGATTTCTCTCGCCTATCATTGATTTTTCAATGATAGAATTTTTTTGCAGAATGCTATTTCGATTATTTCCTAATAGTTGCTGCATTTTTAAATGATTATAATTTATAAATAATAAATTATTTATTATTTACATGAATTATTAAAAATAAATAATTAAACAAATAAATATATTAAACAAAAATTATAAACATTAATTTTTATTATTATTTAATTAAAAAAAATTTATTTAAAAAAATTTTTTTCTCTTGGTTGCCAATATTCGGCCAATATTGGACCAATATTGACAACCGATGATTGGCGATGCCGTTACATCCCAAGCATCAGCCCATATTGGGAGTCAATCGGCGCCCAGCACGGCAACCAATATTGGACCGATTAAAGTCTATTGGCAATTTCTCACTGGGTTTAACTATAAATTTCTTATTTGAATTATTAATTTAATATTATGTAGTACTAAAAAAAGTTAATTTTTTTATAGAAATTTGTTGATTTCTAGTTTTATTTGAAAATGCTATAAATAATCAATAATAAATTGTGGAAACAAATAACAAATTTATTGTAACATTAATAAATTAGATTACTAGGCAACATAAAACAATCATAGTAAAAAATTCCCATGATTTCAAGTTTTTTTTTGAATATGCAAATAAAAAATCATTGCAGGGTAATACAAAATACCCTGCCTTATGCTCGATGTTAGAAAATTTAACCTTACGCTCGCCGGGTTAAATAATTAATATTGATAAAAAGAAAAAAAATCATTAAAATCTTTGCTTGGTTTTCTTTTTCGTTCTTTTAAAGCAATGCTCATATATATTTTACTATAATTTAAATTTATAGAGTGTGTAAAAGAAGTATTTATTTTTAACTAATTTGAATTTATAGAGAGTTAAAAGATATTAAATTCGTACAAACATCAATTATTAAATTTCCCTCACATCTAATTTGTATTTTCGTGTAAAATTTTCTTCTTGTTAGAAGCTCAGCTTTAATACGCTCAACTTAGCATTCATCACCTACCACACAAAGTTGAATGTATAGGAGGTTTTAATTTACTAGAGTAAACCAGAATTGTACCACTTGCTTATTACATCAACAGAAATTTCACAAAATTAAAAAAGAAGGAAGAACAAAAAATTCTTTTTTAACATTTAACACCGGATAAAAAATTTGTACTATTCACTCACTAATAAACCCCTGTTTTTAAATATTTTACTTACGAAGTAAATACCATTTTACAAAAATAAAAAAAATATTTGTACTATTCACTATCTAATAAACTCCTTCTTTAAATATTTAGGTATTTACGAAAAAAAATTTATTAAACAAAAATAAATAAAATTTTCTGCCTGTAAATAAATTTTAATTTTTCTTGCAATTAGTAATTTGTGAAGATATTTTTCATGGAAAATAAAAAATTAAGAAAAAATTAATTATTTTGTAAAAACTAATTAAATTTCAGGTCCACTTTTTTAACGAAAATTAAATAAACATTTTTTTTCATTTTTTTTAAAGAAAACTACTTTTCTGTCTCTTTTTCAATCTTATATTCTACTACACACCTTGAGCCAATTTTTTTTCTCTTTATTTCGTTTTAAATCTCCCAAGTGATGACTGTAATTGGCGCGCGAGAGAATAGAAAAATAACGAGCAATTTAGTGGAAAATGTTCTATACAGAAATCTAATATCTAAATCAGTAAAACGTCATTCTTGGGAAAATTTACCGTTTGCTGAGCAAAGAGAATTACGTCCTTGAAATACATTTGGTGACAGATATTGGTGAGGATTAGTTGGACTAATCCTACTTGGAGCCAAAGTGACTGTCCATGGGGGTGCACTATCCATTCTCGCACCTTCAATCGAGACTTCATTGGTCACCCTCACCTCAATTCCAACAGTCTGCAACAATAGAGATGAGGAAAAAAATCAATTATTTCAACATATGTACAAATAACATTTTTAATTGAAAAGATTAAACCATCAATGTATATTATATCTTTGCATTTTACATAGAAATTTTCTTTTTACATTTTTGTTTTCTATTTTTTTAATTACTATTTTCATTTCTTAAAAATGTTTGAATATAAAATAATATTTTATGTTTCCATAATAAATTTCTTTATTTTTTCCATTTTTAGGGTTCCGTACCCGGTAGGAACCCTATTAAAACGGTTACGGAAAATGACAATGAACCCCCCCCCCCTGGCGCCTACATTTTTTTACCTGGAGAACTGAAAATTGGCATACTTATTCGTTTTTACGCATAGATTACAGGAAAAATATAGCGGAAGTGATTAGAATTTATTTTCATGGTGTTTTCATCGAAAAACTAAAATCTCTTTTTGCAAGCTCGAAAATTCTTTAACCCTTGCTGGTTTCTCTCAATTCTTAATCTAGTGAACTGGCGTTATACATTTTTATTTATTTTTTCGTGTAGATTTCAACAAACATACAGAAAAAATTATTGGAATTCATCTTCATATTTTTTTTTTTGCGAAAAACTAAAAAAAATTTTCGTTTTAAAAAAAAAGTGTGTACCCCCCCCCCCTTGGTTTTTACAATTCTTGGTCTATTGGACTGCAGTTTTGCTTATTTTATGTAGTTTCGTGAGTACATTTCAGGAAAAATATAGCGAACATGATTGGATTTGATCTTCATATTTTTTTAAGCGAAAAACTCAAAGTTTTTAAAAAGTTCGTCAAAAAAGCGTGTATTTTACTCTAGCGCTCACAGTTCTTTACCTAGAGAGCTGAAAATTGGTACACTTTTGTATTTTCACGTGTAGATTACAGAAAAAAAATATAGTGGAAATGATTAGAATTGATCTTCATTGCGTTTTGAGCGAAAACCTAAATTTTTTTTTCAATTTTTGATAATAATTATACCTATGCTAGTTCTCTCAATTCTTAGTCTAGTGGACTGGCGTTGGGCATTTTTCATTTATTTTTACGTGTAGATTACAGAAAAAATACAGAAAAAATTATTGGAGTTCATCTTCATATTTTTTTTTTGCGAAAGACTAGAAATTTTTTTTGATTTAGAAAAAAAAGTGTGTGCCCTCCCTCCTTGGTTCAGCAAAAAAGTAGAAGTTTTAAACGAGGGTACGGAACCCTCGGTTTTAGTACGAGTTCTACTCGCACTTGTCCGGTTTTATTTGTTTTAGTACTATATTTATTTAAAAAATTTTTGAATATAAAATAATATTTTATATTTCAATAATAAATTTCCTTCTATACATATTTTTTTTCTATTTTTATTTGTATTATACCTTTATTTTTTTATTTTGAAATTAAAAATAATATTTTACATTTTAATAATATAATCTATTAAGTTGGTGAAATTCACAACGTTTATAATCAACTATTTAGAAGAAAAATTATTTTTCTTTCAAATTTTTGTCTAGAAAATTTTTTTACAATATTTTTTATCAAAAATTTAACAAATAAAAATTTCTAAACAAAAAATAAAATTGTTTTTCGCGGAAAAAGTATTTTTTTCTTCTGATCGTTGATTATATAAACGTTGTAAACTTCACCTACGTAAATTATTAGTAATAAATTACTTTGCTTTTGAGTTAGTAAATTTTACTAATAAATTCGTAGAAATTGCTATTTATTAGCTAAGTTTACTGACAAATTAGTAGAAATTGCTGTTTATTAGTAAATTTTACTAACAAATTAGTAGGAATAGCTATTTATTAGACAAATTTATTAACAAATTAGGAAATGCTATTTATTAGTAAAATTTGATATCCAGACAAGAAGTCCAAAACAAAAAGTCCAAACCAAAAAATCCAAAGTAAATAAAATCTAAAAAAGTAAAAAAAATAGTTTCACTTTGGTCTTATTTTTTTGTATCTTTTGTCCTGGTCAAAAAGTCCAAAAAAATTAAAAATCGAATGAAAAAATTGAGGTATAGAAATTTTAATGGTTCCTTGAATGAAATTGTCCTTTTTTTGAGTTGCTCATTTCGATGACTGTGAATGGAAAGTAGGTAAACTTAAAATACTAAATTATTACTGAAAATAATTAATTTAATTGGAATTATATTGAAAAATATAATTGAATTTTTGTAAAAGATTTTATCAAAATTGTTGAAAATAATTGAATTTCTTGGAATAATTGTTTTTAAAAATTTTATAGAATAATTAAAATTTTTCTAAACATTCTTTTATTTATGAAAATAATTGGATTTTTGTGAAGAATTTTTCTATTTTTGAAAGTAATTGAATTTTTGTGAAGATTTTTATATTATTTATTTAAATAATTGAATTTTTGTGAAGATTTTTATATTATTTATTTAAATAATTGAATTTTTGTGAAGAATTTTATTATTTATGTAAATAATTAAAATCCTGCGATTTTAACATTAACATTTTCAATTCCGATTTTATAGCGTAAAAAGTAAAAACGTGGCTTTTTCACATGTTTCATTATTTATTTTAAACGTTTTTATTTATTTTGGATTTTTTGTACTTTTGATTTTTTTTCTTGGATTTTTTGTCCTGTAATCGTAAAATTTACTAACAAATTAGTAGAAATTACTGTTTATCAGTAAATTTTACTAATAAATTAGTAGAAATTGCTAGGTATTTATTAGCAAAATGTACTAACAGATTAGTAGATATTGCTGTTTATTAGTAAATTTTTCTAATTCAAATTAGTAAACATTTTTACTAATTTAAATCGGAATTAGAAATTGCTATTTAATAACAGAATAATTTACTAATTTAAATTAGTAAACATTTTTACTTATTAAAATTAGATTTAGAAATTGCTATTGCAAAATGTACTAATAGATTAGTAGAAATTGTTATTTTTTAGTAAATTTTACTAATAAATTATTGAAAATTGCTATTTATGAGTAAAATCTACTGATTCAGAAGCAAAAAATCAGTTACTAATTTGAATTAGTAAATATTTTTACTAATTCAAATTAGAATTAGAAATTGCTAAATTAATAGTAAAATTTACTAATAATTCAAATTAGTAAATATTTTTATTAATTTAATTTTAAAGAGAAAAAAAATATTTTTCTATCCTGAGCATCGACGCTAAATTCCGGGACGTAATATAAAAATTTCTGAAATTAGCGTCGTTTTTTTTCTCGCAAAAATGAAAAGAATAAAACAATTTTTTTTAAGGTTTTAGCTTGTTATTTATGTTTTGACATTAATTATTGATTATCAAAATCTAAAATATTTATAAATTATTTATCATTTATTTACTATTTACATTTCGATATTAAATTATTTAATAACTATCATATTGTTGATATATTAAAACACATATTAAATTATTTTCGCTTGTTGATGAAATAATTTTCACTTCCCTTTTGAACTTTTCTTTTAATAAAATTATGCTTTCAATGTCTTGATAAATTACAATTATAAAAGAGTTATATTACAGAAAAGGGAATTTCTATACTTTCCATTTCTTCTCTCTCTCTTTCTCTTTCTCTCTTCTGTCTTATATTTTATTCTACATGTAATAAAGTGGTGACAGTGATGTATTATTCTTGATCAACAGGTAAATGTTTCTTACAGTAAAGAAGTAAATGGATCTTTGACTAGTTCAAGGATCATCCCTCAGGATCTTTTTTATAATGTACCTCTAAGAGATCGATTTTTTATTGTTATTATAATATTCTGCTCGGTCACTTTTTAAAAGGGTTGTCATTGTAATTTCTTATTTTTTTTTACGATTTTTAAGGTAACATTTTTCAAAATATTTTTTTATTTTTTATTTTCTGTATTTTTTCTTCTTGTATATTTTTCATTTTTTATATTTTTCTTTTTACATTTTTACATTTTCTATTTTTGACTTTTTTATATTTTCTCCATATTTTATATTTTTTGCTTTTATTATATATTTATATTGTATTTTTATTTTTAAAAAAGTCTACTGCACATGTACGAAAGTACAAATTACTTCTGTCGGATCACACACTATTACAGGGGAAAAGGAATAAATATTTTAAATAACCATGATTAGATCTATACTAACAGAATTTAAAATCTCCACTCTGTAAATTGAAGAAGGAGAAGGAAAAAAGTAATTTTATCCTTTCCTTCAGTGAATTTAAATTATCTTCAAAATTATAAATTTTACAAATTTCAACTAAAGTAGAAAGAAAATTCTCATTTTTTTTCAAATTTTTTGATTTGAAAACTTTGACAAACCGAAATTTTATCAAAGATACGATAAACTAAATAAACTATTTTAGCTAGAAATTAAATTATATACTTGTTTACAAAGAAGAAAAATTGAATGTAAAAGAAAAATTTATTGTTAATTGAAAATAGAAGAAATGACTTTTTTTTAAAAAATGTAACAACTTTGTTGAATTAAACTGAAAGACGACCACAAAAGAGAGAAATGAAAATAGAAGTCAATCAATTACATCCTTTCCACAAACAACTGGGAAGATTGATTAGTTCTCATTGGTTACGGACTTTTTTTTCGAGCGCAAAAAGAAAAATATTTGAGGCTGATTCTATTTCAAATCGTTTCATCAAACTTTTGCCTATAGAAAATTTTGCGAAAAATCCCTTTTTCGAAAAGAGAAAACAAAAAGTCAAATTTACATTATTTTATTGTTTTTAAAATAATAATTTTATATTTTATTATTATTTTTATTATTAATATTATTTTTACTATATTTATTATAATTTTTATTATTATTATTATTCCACCTTTAATAAATTCCTTTCCTTTAATTTTTTTATTATTATTATTATCATTTTTATATAATAAAAAAAAATGTTCTTGTTTCACTCAAGTTGTCCTCTCAGCTAATTGTGAAACAGAAATCAATTGAAATCAAATTATTTAATATAAAAAAAAATTCGCTATAATGTGTAAAGCTTTTTAAAAGAGCTTTTATTAGATTTAAAATTT